TTTATTTTTTCTTCACATTTTTGCTTTATATGAAAATGTTTACCTTGTTCATTACTTTGCATATGACCAGATTTCATATCATTTTGCCAGTTTTCATCTGGAAAGTGAAGTAAATTAATGATATGACTCCTATGCTATGGTACATGTATGGGTGTATGTATGTACTGTGTCGTGTTAATGTGTGCAACTCATCTAAAATGGGATGAAATGGATGGGTTGAAGTATTTTGTACGATATGAAGGAAATTTCGTGTAACGCTATTTTTTTTAAGAGGCTTTTCTTTCTACATTTTGTGTTTACATGAGTAAACAATTATACATTTACTTACCACCCTCTCGTCCTTTGCGTTTTTTTTTCGAACTACTCGAACTGCCGCTGCTACCGCCACCGGCGCCAGTGCTACTGTTGCTGACATTACTGCCGCCACCACCTCCACTGGCATTTGTTTGGTTCGTTGAACCTTTATCTTTGCTTTTCCAACGTATCAACATTTTGTCGCTTAACACAAAGTATGTAAGAGTCAGGAGAGAAGGCTTTCAGCCTAACACCAATGCCATCAATACATATAAGAAGTAGAGCAACTTTATTCGCTTCGGGACGAATCTCGGACACCCACCGCCTTAAACGCCTTCTTATTTATTTATTGTTATATACTTTTTTCTTTCTTTTAATTATAAATCTGTCATTAGATCGATCGCGAAAGCTTTCAGCGCGAGGTAAACTCCCGATTGATTTTTCGCTACCAACCGCGGATGATTGCGGAAATGTATTAATATTTTCGCATCGTTTTACCAAGCACTACGAATATGATCATTCTCATTATCACTATCATAAACTAACGAAGTTAAGCTAAGAGATTAAGTTTCAGTTTTGTGCCTTAATTTTTTTTACTCGACCATATTCTGGCGGCATAGGGCAGACGGATCGATACGATAAATTTAAAAAGCTTGTTGAGAATCTTAAAGAGGAATGGTCCATACGCACACACATGTCACCAATGAAGAGACCTACAGCGTGTAATATTTTCGATCGCCACTTCTGGTCTTTTGTATAATTAGCATTTTGCGTGAGTTTAAGAAGAAAAAGAAGTAAATGCATATAGACTTGTGCCCTTATACGCGCAAAAAGATATTAATTGCACGGACAATATCGGTACAGAATCTAATTAATTTGAAGAGGTTTGTTTTTATTGCATTTTTCGGCCTGTTACGAACGGGATGAGAATCTGAATATAGCCTATCCTTCGTTGATGAGTACAAAAAACTTACGCATACATACAAAAAAAAAAAAGAAAAAAATTGCAAAATAGACACTGAGGAGAAAAATAATCCTGGCCACTGAAGTATTCGCCACCGAAGTTTAATTCATAAATATTTAATGTCAATATATGTTTTATATAGATATATATATATATATATATATATATACATATATTTTTTTTATCTCCCTTCCTCGAGAAATATACAATATTTTGTATATTGAAACGTGAATAATTTATAGATATCCTATTTTCCGAGACCATTAAAATAGAGAAAGGCAGAAAGAGAGAAGAGAGTCTTCGTACTCGTGAAATAGGTGGTTGTTACCATACGGCAGAAATGCCCTTTAAAGTTTATAGGCGGATTAGATGATACCTTGGATGCACCACGCAGAGTTTAATATTTTTAATCTGTGTTTATATTTGAATAGAAGGTATCTGCCGGCTTTGCGAATAAGAAAAAATATATCACGTGCAGCTTTCAACCATACAATATTTTCTTACGGAACGAAAAATGAAAGAAGAGTGCGAGGCGTTGGGACGCTGGGTCGCCTTTCTGAGAATTCTGAGAACATTACGCTTAGTGCGGCCAAAATTCTCCAAAATTATGTCCAAGATTATTTTTATCTCAACTGCGTATATATGTATATATATATATATATATATATATATGTATACATATATGTTTTAATTGAGGCCAAAGTTTGCAAAATTAATATTAATATGTAGAAATTCAGTTTAGCTATGTATGCATGCAAAGGTGAATACCATGAGGTAAAGGCGTTTTTAGGTTTAATGTCTATTGCTTCACATGCTTTAATGATAAAGTTTCACTTTTTTCACAAATTTCTTTCACTCTCGATCAATTTTTTGTTCATCTGCTTTAAAATTAAAAGGATTTAAAAAGTTTATTTAGAATAAAACATATGTAGATTGTGATGTAAGTAATAATATTAAAATTTTCACTCTATCTATGTAACTTTTAACGTTTTATGTAAACTTTTTCTTTCATTTTTATATAAATTGATTTTTTTTATTTATTTAATAATTTTTTATTTTTTTTTTTGGTTTTCAACACACCTTGCTTTTATATTTGGTATAATCTTGCAATGATTTCTAATATTTTCCTTATTTGTCTTTAATTGCTTCAAATATTTTTTATTAATTAATTTTTTTATTTTTGTTTTTTTTTATATTTTAATATTTACTTCAATTACACAGTTTTTATCCTTAGCTGGTTTCGTGGCCGCTTGACAAAACCGTTCGATACTTTTTAATGGCTTAAAGCATTTCTTGTATACATCCATGGACAAGTTTCCGCCCTAAATGCTATTCAACGTTGATGATGCGCGTGTGCATTAAACGCATTGTTGTTGCATATTATTTTTGCTCTACAATTTAAGGTGTTCATCGAGGAAGGATCCTAGTATAAACAATAGCAAAACAGGAAAAGAGGAAGCGAAGAAAAAAATACTGCAACTGTCGAAATATTTTTCCCTTCTTTATATATTTCTTAGGCCGAGGGTTGCTTATCTTTTTCATTGGGTGCCGGGGTATGTGGAGTGCGACAATAGCAACAACAATGGGTCAAAAGTCTTTGTTAGTACATTTTTTCCTTTTATATTTCTTTCAATTGTATATTTCCTCCCTTACCTTGTTAATATATATGCGCTTTAGTAATTCGGAAAAAGAAATGAGACTCTGAAAAGCCATACTTTTTCAAGGAAAGCTTTAAAGCTCTGAAGCGCTAAAGCTCTAAAGTCTTGGTATTGGCCATTTCATAAATTTTGCATGTAATGCCCTTACTTGGAACTTACTATAGTTTTAATCGATAAAATTCAACCTAAACTGAGAACTGAGAACGTTGCGAACATTGAAATAACAATTAATTTCAAAAAATCATGCTCTCTATTGGCCATGTGAATCGAATAATAACTGTACATCTAACAATTCTCTTTGCATATTTGCTACTGGCCAATGTGAATGCAAACAATCTTTGACTATGTGTTTTCCGGAGATTACCCAAAACGTTTAAAAAGTTCGCTATTTGATGATGCGTGCGAGGAAAATGCAATCAATGCAATCTTGTACACTCAGCTGATCGAAGTGAAGATAGCTCATCAAGATAGCTCATATTTTCCAGGGGGTTATCGCTTTGCTAAAAATGTCTTTGCTAAGTCACGGTCTCTCGCGAAGTAAAAACAAATAAAATAAATAATAAAATTTAAAAAATATTAACAAGCAAACACATATATAACAAACTAAGTCAATTAATTGCGATCACAACACCGAAAAACCCTAGTTATTGCCGGTAACTCTCATGTACATTTAAGATACAAACACTGTACGAGTCCAATGTCCGCATCCAGATTTTAAATATGTCATATTAGATATGTCTGAAACTTATTAGAAAAATTTAATTTCATTGCTATGTCCGGGATTTATCACCGCCCCAACTAGCCCAAATATGCTCTCTCCATTTACATAAGGCAGTAAATTAATTTATAAAAAAAGCTTTAAATTTTTTTTTTTTTTTTATGCATTTATAATCAATTATCGATGTTGCTTTTTCCCTGATAGTTTGCACAGGCAAATGCTAAAAATTAAATGTAAATATATAAGCAAGTGTTCAGTTAGTTTCACTACCGTCATATCAAGATGCAACCGGCGAATTTATCGCACATATGAGGACGTCTACAATGAAGAGTCCAAAAACCAAAGCCGAACGAATATATATATATATTCATATATACATATATATATATAAATTTACCTTGAATATATAGAAATATTGGGAAAATGAAAAAGAAACCAAATCTAAAAAATGATATAAAATCATTTGAAGCAAGCAGCAGAAACATTATAGTCGGGCAAGGCTGACCATTAAATATCCTACACCTACACATTTTCGAATAAAAATTTTTATTTTTGCATGAACTTACTATTTTGGGTCAATTTTCATCACCATATATTAAAACTTCGATTTTTTTTGCTCTACAAAGGATCAATTTTCAATTAATGAAAAGCCTCAATAGGGTAGGATCTAAAAAATAGAGAGAGATGGTCCAAATTTGGTACAGTAAATTTTTTTATGTTAAATTACTATTATGATATAGTTGTCATCGTGAAGCATTGAAAATTATACCTTTTTGTTGCATGAACTTTGGTTTCCGTTATATGAGAGAGGGTTCAAAAATTGCCACAGCCAGTCTGAAGAATGCCGTAATACTATTACTTAGCCGAGAAATTGCAATTTTTTCGATAAAACGACTTTTCAAAATACGGCGTCATATGGAGAGGGCTCGAAAAAAAGGAACGATTCGAACCATTTTCAATAGCAGTTGCCCTTGGGTGGAGACGCGCGGTCATTGTACCAAATTTCATCAAAATATCCCAAAAATTGCGGCCAGACAATAAATGGACAGACGGAAAGACAGGCTTAGATCAATTCAGATAATGATACTGAGTCGATGGATATAATAAAAGATGGGTCCATCGTAAGTCCTTTTGCGAGTTACATTCGCACTATCTTAATATAAAAAAAAATTGGGCCAGTTAGCTTAAAATTGAATTGATTTTTTATCCCTTTATTTATATCGTTTTTTTCTGATAAGAAATTTCTCTATGATTTCCTTGAAAATGAATACTTTTCGGAGTAATTCTTCCAAAGCTGTTTCACCACAACCCTCGCAAACCAAGTATACAACGTAATCTACCATAATATCTTGTCAAGATTCTTTGTAAGTCGTATTTTTAAAAATTCAATTAAAAACTTCGTTAGTAGGTCGCAAAGTTAAAATAAAAAAACTGTTTATTAAAGATATGAACTTGAACTAAGAAAGTAGGCTTAGCAAAAGCGAAAATTTTTAGAGCTTAATAATAAAAATTATGTGAATATTCTTAAGAAAACAGAAAACAAATAAAAATGTGGCCAAAATGCAATAATAATCACATACGCTATTGGATGTACAGGAACACACGGCAACATTTACGGTAACGTAACCTGTATGTAAAACAGCTGTTCAACATAAATGAGCGCGTCAGCTGCCTTGGCAACCTTGCCAATACAGACACTAAAATTTTGAGTATTAGAAACGTTTGGCGCTCACTCTCTCTCTCTCTCTTTGTATAAGAAACATGTAAATGTAAAGATTTTCATCTATTTTGTAAATTAAGTATAACAGTGTAAACAGCACAGGAAAAATAGAGCGACCTCTGTACGTCAAGTGTTGAAAAATTATGATATTTTAAGTAGCAATGACAAGAATCCAGCAAATACTACAATCAAAATAATTTAATTTAAAAGATAATAAAACACCAAATTACATTCAATTGCCACGGGGTAACTGTGGTCGATTCATTTAAGTGGAGTTTTTAGAGGGTGAAATTCACAGTGTTATTAAAATGCGAGGGTTCGACCCCTGTCAGGTGTGCGAATAAGAAAAAAGCAGCCGCAGGTCTTTTGGATGATGAAAAAATGTTGTGTATATAAATTCATAAAATCAAAACGGGTTTGTTTTGTGTGTGCTATTGTTTATCCCAATCCAAAACCCTCTTTACGTAAAACGCCACGCGCCGTATGCTAATTGTTCTGTGCATTTTGAGCGTGCCAATAAATTGAGGGAGATTAGAATTTCTTGCAGGAAGCTAAGTATGTCGATTTGCGATTCGTTGCTACTTTTAGACACTTAGTGCCAATGAAAACGAGAAAACAGTTTTTTTTTTTTTTTTGCTTCTACAAAAACCGCAACGTTCAGTATACACGTAACCACCGCCAAGAAGAGTCGATGAGCTATCGTTGTGTGATGTGATGACCGATCAACAATAAGTTCATTTTTTTTAATCTGTTCGTAACATTGTCCCCATAAGCCGATCATCATCACGCTTGTTTCCAAATACAAAAGTATATTCTCAGCGGTGTTTTCTTTACAGCTGAAAACGATAGTACGATACGATATAAAGCTGTTGTAAGAGAAAAAATGGAAAGAAAGTTGGAAACTTATAAAACATAGGAAATACCTAATGTGCGTCAAGGAAGTTAAGTTAGAAAGGTTCGTCCTCTATAAATTCTGTAGCGTTTTCGTAGGGTACTTTATCCAAATTCTATGTAGAATGTGATAATAATACCGGCCGTGTTGAAGTTTTATGGCAATATTAATATTTGTCAATGTGTTCGTGAGGTTATTATAACTTGAAGTAGATGAGAGCGTCAGCTGCGATCCTTCAGCAAAAACAAAAATCACTAAAAAATCTGTTTTGTAATTATTTGGCAAACTCTAGTTCAAAATTATTCATGAATCGAATAATGAAGTGAATCTTTTTAAAATATCCACGGAATATCATACCCATGCCTGTTATAATATTTATATAGAATTGGAATTTTAGCATAAGATAAAATTTTTTTACTTTTGGCTAATTTGTTTAATTTAATTAATTTTTGCTCAAGACATGTCGCAATGTTTTCACGACAAGTGACTAACTATATATTTATTTTAATCCAAAGCGCAAGCTAACGGAACACAAATCCCCAATGCTAAGACTTTGCTTCCGTTCGTCCTTTGGGGGGGTTGTTATTATTTATTTATTTTTTTTTTTGATGATATTTTTAAATAATTTTTCTTATAAGAACGGTGGGAGTACGCCAATGGCGGCTTTGTTTGCTTGAATCGTTGCTACAGTATTGAGATAGACTTGATCTTTAACGTAGTGTAACGTAAGCCGCCCGAAATCTACTCTTCGAGAAGTCTCACGTTTTTCACGCAATAGAGCCTAATTTAAGGAGCTATGAGGCCGCAATTTCGAAAACAAACATTGTCGGCGCAATTTTCAGTTTTCAATGCGGTAGCACCTTTTCATGGCCCTACATTTTGTTATTGATGCTCTATTCTACTAGAGCGAGCTTTGGATGGTTATCGTAAATATAATGGCAGAATAATTTTAGGCTCAGAACATAAAACTGAACACTTTAATTTTCCAAAATGATTGATGATCATCGTCTAAGAAATTGCCCGAGCCAAGTTCCGCTTGTCTATTTCAATTTTTGTAATCACGAGCCTTCCAAGTGTACGGGCCAGAGGGACTGAGACGCGAACGAACGAACGAAAACAAAGGAACAGGAGGCGTTGCCCAAATAGACTGGGGGCTGTATTGTAATCCAAATTGTGTTTACTCTACACATAGTCTCTGAGAAATATTTCGCGCTAATATAAAAATAAATGGAAAGAGAAGAATAATTTTAACAGATAATAATCGAATATAAACAAAATATGATTAATGTTTTCATTTCGTAACAATGAAAATGTTAAATTTGTCAAGATTTTAAACAAAGCATATTTTCATTTTCATATGTAAACAAGAAAATGTATTGCGGCGAAAAAGTAAATGTGAAATTATACACACAACACACTCCAATCTGGCTAATATCCAATTTTGGTTTGGTTTGTTCGTTGTGAGTTTACAAGCAAAAAAAAAATGAATAAAAAAATGAGTAAATAAATAAAAAATAATATAAAATAAAACCAAAAGAAAGGCATAAGAAAAAGAAAAGAAAAGAAAAGAAAAGAAGAAAATAA